AATGACTTTTTGCTCTCTTCACGTATGTTGTTCTTGATGTCATCCCACAACTCTTCTGGTCTTTGGTCTTTAGTGTTTAATGTATCAAATCTGTTATTTACATGATCTCTAAATTAAGGTGTTATAAATCTGCTTAGGAGATGTCAGTTATTAAGTGTAACAGGTCACAGTTTAGTTTGTCATGAATTTTCTAGATACAACTTTCGCTCAGAATGCTTAGAGATCTCCTGTAAAAGAACACTTTGGTGTTTGATAAAACTTTATTTCTTTGACATCAGAGTAATAGGTGGGGCAAAAGGAGATAGAGAAACTTAGAGCTGCGGATGTAAAAAAACAAGGGTGATGATTTTTCTTGTATATGCTAGGTTTAACATTATGTAAAATTGGCAGGTTCTTCTACTCCTGTTGTGTTTCCTACATTACTTTGGTGATTCTTTGGTATTTTGAACCAGAAAGTATTCTTTTTAAACAGCAAGAAGTTTATTATTATCATTGCAATGTTTTTGACATTATTACTGAAGAAAAATGGGTGTTCTTTAAAGACATTTCAAGTAGTTGTTAAGTGCTGTCAGTCACTTCTGACCCTTAGTGACCATTTGTAGGACTTCTGAAGAGTGGCTGGTGGGTTTGAACTGCCAACCTTGCGGTTAGAACTGACAAAAATTAGGAAACAAAAATGACAACTGGAGCCAAATTAGGACTATAAGTGGGTGGATGCCTAATGAGTTTCCATAGGAACTCTTAAAAAATTGCCGTTGTTTACTGATAGGGTTGAACGGGAGCATTGTTATGGTGGAGGTGGACACTCTGAAGATTTCCCGGGGCAACTTCCTGCCAAAGATCCTGGCTGACATTCTCAGAACAAACTTATAATCAGATGCTAACATTCCTTTGACCCTTCAAAAAGTTGGCAAGTAAAATGCCTTGAGCATTCCAAGAAACTCTTGCCATGACCTTTGCTTTTGACCAGGTTGGTCACCTACTACTTTCACTGGACCACTTCCATCTCTTGATAATCATTGCTTTGATTGTACTTTTGTCTTTATGATCATTCTAGGTTTCATGTTACAGTTCTTCGAAACAGTGCTTCAGGATCTTAATTCCTCATGTTTAAAATTACAGTTTAAAGCTCCAGTCTTGTCTGCAGTTTATTTGGATTCAACCGTTTTGGTGTACACATTAAGCAAAAATTTGCCCAAATTTAATTTTTCATTCAGAATTGAAAAAGACCAATTCAGGTGTCTATGATGTTGGTTGCTGCTACTACTTGTAATCATCAGTCCTTTATTTAGTAAATTGCTAGTGCAGTATGTCATTTGAAAAGTAAAATGAAATTCTTGACAACTTCAGTCTAAAACCTGTTATCATGATGTTGTGTATTGGCTCAGTTGTGAGCATTTTTATTTTCTTTATGTTGAGGTATAGTCCATATTGAAGACTTTAGTTATCATACCAAGTACATGCATATTGAGATGCAATTATTAATAAATTATAGGAGGAATGAAGTAAAAGGACTTGAATTTAAAGCTAGAGTCTGTCACCCAGGAACTTTGTGACTCTGGCCAAGTTGTCTAACCACCCATTTTAGCTAAAGCCACTTTGTCTATAAATGAAATAATTGTGTGTATTCTGACCTTGATATGAAGATTGTGGGTGATAATTCATTTAAAACTAGATTTATTGTTGTGTGCTGTTAAGTCATTTCCAGCTCATGTTGTTGTTTTTATGTGCCAGGAGTCTGTTCTGACTCAGTGATCCGGTACAGGGTTTCCAAGGCTGTAAATCTTTACAGCAGCAGAAAGCCTCATCTTTCTCCTGCGGAACAGCTGATAGGTTCAAACTGCTGACTGGGAGATTAGCAGCCCGATTTGTAACTACTATGCTACCAGAGCTCCTTTTCCAACTCATTTGCTGTTGTTGTTGTTATGTGCCGTGGAATCGGTTCCGACTCATAGTGACCCTTGCACAGGGTTTCCGAGAGTGACCCTGTATATGGTTTCTGAGTAGCGATTGGTTAGTTTGATCTGCCAAACTTTACTGTTAGCAGTCTATCGCTTTTCCTGTATCTCCACACCAAGACTCTAAAACTAGATTTAGCTGTCACTATGTAGTAGTTGTTATGTGCTGACAAGTCGGTTCTGACCCATAGTGACCACCTTGTATATGTTTTCCAAGGAGCAGCTGGTGAGGTTGAACCACCAATCTTGTAGTTCAAACCGATTTTGCAGTCTAGCACATTAACCCATACATAGTACCACACCAGAATATTAGCATGATTATTCTTTTTCAGCTTTTATCTTATAAAAATGTATGTATATTTTCTCCTTTCATGGTCATTTTTTTCTCCCAAGTGAAAGACAAAGATCACGTACCATACTATGCTTAAAATAGCAGTAACCAGAGGTAGAGTACCTCATTCATTCCTTTTTAAATACACACATACTTAAAAAGTGCCAAATCTTTGAAATAGTGCTTATAGAATAGATAATCCAAACCTATTTAATGAAGATTTTTTGTGTTCTTATGGAAATACATACACTCATTAAAATTTTGGGGGAAGTTTCTAAATATAATTTGAAAATAGTAACAGGAAAGAAATGGTTGCGAAGAATCAAATTGAATTGGCAAAAGAAAGCATTGGCAACTTGAAGGGGAGTCACTTAGTATATTTTTGCCACTTGAAATGCCCTAGGGTTCACATATTTTTAAAGCCCAGTGTAGAAGTTAACATAGAATGTAATTTGGAGCTGTTGTAATGTGATGAGGAATGATGGCATAATTTAAAAACAAGCACAGTAGTGCTGCTGATGTATAAAAGGGAACCAACAAATTTATTTAAAGACTATTAGTAATTACATTGCAGATACTTTTTTTCTTGGAAAACTTAATCCTTACCCGTTACTTTTATGTCGTAAACCCTGTGAAAGCCATAACCTGTGTTAAGTGGAAACCTTCCAGAGAAGGAAACTCAAATAACTCAAGCGTGATAGAAAAGTGGTTAGTCTACACACTGTCAAAGGTGGAAAATTTGTCAGGCCCAAGAAAACAAGGTAATCTGTAGGTAATTCTGACGCTCACAAGTTTCACTGTATATACAGAATCTCTGGGTGGTGTAAAATGGTTAATACTCTGGGCTGCTAATGAAAATGTTGGAGTTTGGGGCCAGAGTCTAGCCAAAATGACTGTGGAAGAAAGACCTGGTGACCTGCTCCTGAAAATTGAGCTTTTGAAACTTTTTGGAGCGTAGTTCTAGTTTGACACATTATGTGGTTCACCATGTGTTGGAATTGACTTGATGGCAACGGGTGCGTTATTTCAGTTACTAGCGTGTATTTTTATTTGAGTGAAATTGGAGTAAGAAACACCAAATTTTTCTTAATTTTTGAACACTGTCTTAGAAATGGAACACATTCTTAGGAAATTTAGGGGCCAAGAGAATGATAAGCAATGATTAATAATGGCTATACAATAAAACAGACACATAATGGTTTGAGTACCTGTATTTTTTGTGTTTTAAAAAAAAAAAACTCATTTGGATTGCTTTTAGATGAGAAAAAGAAGGAAAGGAAGAGAGCTCGAGGCATATCTCCAATTGTATTTGATAGAAGTGGAAGCTCTGCATCAGAGTCATATGCAGGTATTGTATTAATTTTGTTATCATATCTGACTGACTTGTGTGATCTGCTGTGAAAGCTATAGTTAGTGTGAACTTGTTGATGTCCATTAGTATTGATTTTTGGCATGTTCAATGTAGAGATTCTAGAGGAAACTAAGCTTTTTCTTATTTTAATCCTGTTCTGTTACTGCTTAAGTGGAATTTTCACTTTTATTTTTTTCCTTGGAAGATGATGATTCAGTGACTAGTTTTCTGAGTGGGAAACTGTTCAAATACATATATTTAAAAAAATAATGTATATCCAAACAACTCAAAAAGCAAAACACTCGTACACATTGAGAAGTATTTTATTGTGTGTGTGGGTGCGCCAGGAAGAATAATTTGTTTTGAATGAGAATTATATGTGACAAGACTGTAGAAATTTTGTCTTACCTCTATTAAAGCTCAATCTGAACAAATGTACTTTGGCTAAATACAGGTTCAGAAAAGAAGCATGAGAAATTATCATCTTCCGTTCGTGCTGTCCGAAAAGGTATCATTTAAATTTGAAATTGTTTTCATTGCATGCTGCATAAAGTCATTATTTTGCCTTATTGGTTCTCCATTAGTAGTTGGTTTTAATGTAGTGATGTTCCAATATATTACATTAATGAGAAAAGAAACTTCATTACACAATCTTACACAGGGAGCTCCACATCCACTTGGTTTTTAGAACTGTAGACATTTCAGAATAATTCAGGTACAATGTAAATACTTTTTACAGCATAATAGTTTATTATAAATCTTAAGAACTGTAATGAAATATATAAAACTTGCAGATATTTTCATAGTTAATTGTTGAACTAATATATTGGAACATCACTAAATTAGATTTACAGTCTTGCAAAGTGCTGGTATCTTTTCTTAGCTTTGCATTTTTATGTGGTGTGGCTTAGTTTTGACTGGGTGATTGTTTTAAAATTTTTTAAAATTTTGGGCTGGGTTGTGGAGGGCAGATTTCAGATGGTACAGTTGTGTGATAATGACCTATAGTTAATCAGTTTGGGTTTCTTTTTTCCAGATCAAACCAGTAAACTCAAATATATTCTTCAGGATGCAAGATTTTTCCTCATAAAGAGTAACAACCATGAGAATGTGTCCCTTGCCAAAGCTAAGGTATTAGCATCAGTTCTGTTAAGATTAACCTGATCCTAAAAAGTTATAATGGAAAGTTAGGCTAAGTATTTTAAGTAATGTAAAATATTTATAAGGACCTCTGGTAACGTAGTGTTTATGAATCGGGCTGCTAATCTCACGGTCAGCAGTTCAAAACTACCAGCTGTTCCGCGGGAGAAAGATGAGGCTATCTGCTCTTGTAAAGATTTACAGCCTTGGAAAACCCTGTATAGGTTGCTATGAGTCGGAACCGACTTCACAGCACATAACAACAACAGGATATTTATATTCTGTATTTCTAACTTAGGCTAAGGATAGCCTATAAAACTTTATAGGCAATATAATATACTAAGCTTAGCTGGTGTGCTGTTGAGTTGGTTTCCACTCAACGTCCCTACTTCTAGGAACTTCTGACCTTTTGGTTAGTAGTGTAGTGCTTATCCTATAGCATCACACTGGGCTCCTAGCTAATGTTTTCTTACTCTCTTGTGTAGTTGAAATGGGTTGTTAAATGCCATTGAGTTGGTTCCAGACCTTATATAGGGTTTCCAAGCAGTGGCTGGTGAACTTGAGCCACTGATCTTACGGTTCAGACCTACATTGTGGCCCAGTGCCTTACTTCATAGCACCACACTGGAAGTAATTAAATAGTATGAACAAGAAGGTTACATGAATGAAAAATTTGAAGCTGCAGGTTGTTTTTAACTGAATGAGAGTTTTGCCATAACTTTCCATTCTTATTTTCTATAAAAGAAAATTTTATTAAAAGGTTTCAGAAAGTAATAAATATATTCCATGAGTACATGAAGAGGTAAAAAACACAGACTTTTTTAGTCAGACAATTTTTAGATGAATAAAAATTTTGAACTTAGATATTAGAATCTTGAGAAATTTTTTTAGATTTACAAATACAGATTTAGACTTATTATACAGAATTCTAACCCAGAAGGGTTGACACTTGTAATGGGTTTACTAGTTTTATTAATGATTGTTCAGGCTGGTGAAAAAGCCTCCTGAACTTTTTATGAGTTTAAATGCACCAAAATCAATGCCTTGCTGTTTTGCCAATGTAATTTGAAGATACAAGTTTTATGATCTTTGCATTTTTATAGGGTGTGTGGTCCACGCTGCCTGTAAATGAGAAAAAATTAAATGCTGCATTCAGATCTGCAAGGAGTGTTATCTTGATATTTTCTGTAAGAGAGAGTGGAAAATTTCAGGGTAAGAATGAAACTAATTTTGATTTAAAGCAATTGCATATTCAAATCTGTGTGTTGTGATTTAAGAATAGATTTTAATAAGATTTCAGAATCAGCATTTAGGATTTAATAATTTGATATATGAAAACATCATATTGATAACATGATTTGATTCTCTTAGGGTTTGCAAGACTTTCTTCAGAATCACATCATGGTGGATCTCCTATACATTGGGTGCTTCCAGCAGGAATGAATGCTAAAATGCTGGGAGGAGTCTTTAAAATTGACTGGATTTGCAGGTAAATTATACATTTTCATATTCAGAATCCATAGGAGGAGGATTTGGATATGTGTAGGTGGGATGTGAAACCATATTTCTTTATGAAGGAGATAATAAAAGAATAAAAAGCATAATCAAGTATTGTTACTAAGTCATAGAGATTTTTTTAAAAAAATTTTTTATTGTGAATTGTGTGATAGTTTACATGGGAGAACATTAGCTTTACATTCACCCTATCGTACATTGTTTCATTGTTGTGGTTACAATCCCCTCTATGCATCAACAACCAACCAAAGGGTATACTCTGCAAGCCTGCCCCCCCCAAGTCATCAGCATACAGTCCATGTCCCTTTCTGGGTCTAGCTGCTCCATCTCTCCATGTCATCGTCTCTGCCTCCATCACCAGTGTCACTGTTTCTCTGGGTAGGGTCCCGCACTCCGCTCTTCTCCTTGATGGTCCCAGGGACCTCCGCTCCTGGACTGCAAAGTCAATCACTCCCCTCCTTTTGTTACACAATGACTACCTTTACATTTCCAATCCACACAGTGAGTCCTGATAACAATTATTTACTATTGTACCACAAGAGACCTATCCCAGTCTCCTTTCCTCAGCAGTCATAGAGACTTCTATGAAACAAAAAATCAAAATGTGAAACCATTGCTTCCTGACAATTCCTCCAGATGTCTATCTATATACTTCTGAAAAACAGTGTTCCTGTGTGTGTAACCTTTGCCTGAAGAATTCTGAATCATGTCAAAATAGTAGCCTTGATCTTGACTTTTCAGACTTCTTGTTGTTGAGTGTTGTCAAGTTGTTTATTAATGACCCTGTATAGGGTTTCTGAAGAGCAGAAGAGCAGTGGTAGGTTTGAACTGCCACAGCCAACCTTGTGGTTAACAGTTCAGTGCTTAGCCTACAGTGCATAACAGGAGTCCAAATCAAGGTTGTTGTTGGAAAGCGCCGTCAAATTGGTTTCAACTCATAGCCATCCTGTATAGAATTTTCAAGGAGTGGCTGTTGAGTTTGAGCTGCTGAACGGCCTTGAGGTGCAGTTAAAATGCATTAAAATACGAAGGAATGTTAACTGTCTCTTAATACCTTCTAACTTTTGGTATAGATTTACTTTAGCTTTAGGGAGTCTCTGGTGTGGTGCTATAGGATAAACGTTAAACTGCCAACCACAGGGTGATCATTTCTAACCCACCAACCTCTCCTTGGAAACCCTATTCAGGGTTGCTATGCACGCTCTATCAAGCCATGGTATTTTCAGTAACCTCACATGCATTCGAAAGGTAGACAGTAAATAAGGAACTTTAGAAGAATTGATGCTTTTGAGTTAATGGTGTTGGAGGAAAATATTGAAAGTGCTATGGACTGCCAAAAGAACCACCAGATCCATGTTGGAAGAAGTGCTCCTTGGCGGCCAGGATGGCCAAACTTCGTCTCTGATACCTCGGACATATTTTCAGGAGGGACCAGTCCCTGGAGGAGGATATCATGTTTGGTAAGGTCAAATAAAAAGAGAAAGACCCCCAATGAAATGGATTGGCAAAGTGGCAGCATCAGTGGGCTCAAGCCTGGCAAAAATAGTGAGGTTGGTCCAGGATCAGGCAGTGTTTCGTTCTGTTGTGCATAAGATGACTGTGAGTCTGTACCCACTCAGTGGAACCTAACAACAACAGCAATGCACACTCGATGGCACTTAACAGTAGTCACCCAGTGAAGGCGCCCAGATGGCACAGTGTGTTAAGTAAGCATAAGACTGCTAACTGCAAGGTTGATGGTTCAAACCCACTAGCCAGTCCTCATTGTCAGAAATTGAAAGGAGCACTTCTACTCTGGCCTGTAGGTGGCTGTGGGTTAGAACTGATTTGATGGCAGTGGGTTAGTTACTCAGTGATAGTCTTCCTAACTCTGATACCCAGAAAGGGAAATGTGTGTATGTGTGTGTATATAGAGGGAGACAGACAGACAAAGAGAGCCCTTGTATGGCACTGTGGGCTAATGAGCTGCACTGCAAGGTTGGTTGTTCAAGCTCAAAAGCTGCTGCTTGAAAACCCTATAGGGTCACTATGAGTCAGAACTGACTCAACAGCACTTAAGACAGCAACATAGATACACACACAAATATAACTTGTGAAGGCCTGGTGTGGTATTATGGATTAATGTGCTGGACTGCAAAGTTAATTTGAACCACAAGTTTGGCGGTTTAAGCTTACCAGCCATTTGTCGGAAACCCTATACAGGGTTTGAACCAGCTTGACAACACTTAATTACGTATCTGTCTCTCTATGTCTTTGTCTATACACGTGCATATATATATATCTTGTTGTGAAGTGCCGTCAAGTTGATTCCAACCCATAGAGACCCAGTATAGGGTTTCTGAGGAGCAGCTGGTGAGCTTGAACCACCATCCTTGCAGTTCAAATGGCTTTGCAGTCTGGCACATTAACCACTCCAGGACTCCATACATATATACACACACACATTATATATATACACATAACTCATGTATATATATTCCGTTGACCCACTCTTGATATGTAGTAAACAAAGAATTCAAACTTTTTAGCAATTCCTACCTATACACATTCAAAGAAACTTCATAAATTCCATTTTCTTTAAATTTCATATTGTTATGTGCTGTCGAGTCAGTTCCAACTCATAGTGAACCTCCTATATAGGGTTTCTGAGGAGCAGCTGGTTGGTTTGAACTGCCAACCTTGTAATTCACAGTCCAGTGCAGATCTTCCAGCACCACACAAGAAGTCCAAGGGTGGAACGTTGTAGTTAAGTCTGGTTGAGTCAGTTTTGACTCTAGTGACCCTGTATAGCGTTTCCAAGGAGTGGTTGGTGAGCTTGAACTTCTGAGCTTGTTCAACCCAGCCTTGCAGTCCAGTGCACTAACCTGCAGTACCACGTTGTTAAGTGCTGTGGAATCGGTTCTGACTCATAGCAACCCTGTACGGGGTTTCCGAGGCTGTAAATCTTTATGGGAGCAGAAAGCCTCATCTTTCTCCCGTGGAACCGCTGGTAGTTTCCAATTGCTGACCTTGAGGTTAGCAGCCCGATTCATAACCACTACGCTACCAGAGCTCCTTATCCATATCATTACCACCTCAAAAAGGAGCTCTGGGTAGCCTTGTTATGTGTTGTGGAGTCAGTTCCAACTTTATTTATTAAGGGGGTGGTATAGACTTTTTTTAAATGAGAAAGGTAACATCTACTTTGAGGGAAAGAGAATTAGGAAATGCTTTTTATAAGTGGCATATAGAATACACTTTCCAACGAGATGGATTGGCCAAGTGACAGCATCGATGGACTCAAGCGTGGCAACGATAGTGAGATTGGCCCAGGATCTGGCAATGGTTCGTTCTGCTGTGCATAAGGTCGCTATGGGTTGGTACTGACTTGATGGCACCTAATAACAACAACAACAAAAGAATATACTTGGAAGAAAAGTGTGAAGTCAGAGGTAAGACAAGTTTGATTTGAAGCAAAGCTACCAGAGACAGCTGTTCCTGGGGAGGGAGATGAGGCATTCTGCTCCTGTAAAGATTTATAGTTTCGGAGGAAACCCTGTGCTGCAGAGTTTCTATGAGTCGGAACCGACTCCACGGCACATGACAATAACAACCACCTCAAACCACACTACCATTAGATATGATTTCTTATTTTATAAAATTATGAATTCTGAGAATTTAATAATTAAAGAAAATACATGTAAAGTTTTAGAATAGCTTGCCTACTTTTATTATATTACTTAATTTTATCTTTCTTTCTCCATTTTACATTTTCAGAATTCCAAACCAAACTTGCCTTAACCTCTGACTTCTCACTTTTCTTTCAAGTGTATTCTTTATGCCACTTATAAGAAGCATTTCCACATTACTTCTCTTTCCTTCAAAGTAGATATCACCTTTCCCATAAAAAAAAAAAAAAAAAAAAGTCCGTACCCCCTTAATAAGTATGTGTCTTTGAGATATGGTTAGTGTTACGAGCTGCATTTTAAACTTTGTCCCTTGAATGAATAGTCTTATTTGTATAGTTGCAGTTGTTGAATGCTGTTGAGTCGGTTTCAACGCATAGCAACCTTGTATAGTGTTTCTGAGGAGTGGTTGGTGAGTTTGAAACACCAACTTCAAAATTTAGACCAACCTTCAAGTCTAGTGCTTATCCTGTAGCACCATACTATAATCAGTATTTAATTAAAGTTTGTTGTTAAGTACCTTCACGTCAGTTCCCACTTATAGGACCCTGTATAGGATAACGGAGGAGCGGCTGGTGAGCTTCAACTGCCAACCTTGCAGTCCAGCATATTAACCCGCAGTGCCACACCAGTTGTTTATTAATTTAGTTGGCATTGCTTGTTTTATACATAAGAGAGGTGTTGTTTTTGCTAAGTGCGATCGCATCTGTTCACACTCGTATTGCTCCAAGAAGCAGTGGTGAATTTGAACCACCAACTTTTTGATTTGCAATTCAGTGCTTATCCTATATCATTACCATCTGGGCAATGTCCAATCACAGGTATGTTCTGGCCATATAATACTCCTTTTGTTTATTAATTCCCCCTAATGGTATTAAGGCGTACTCATATGGTGCTGTGTGATAAGCATTGGATTGCTAATTGAAAGGTTGGTTGTTCAAACCTATCAGCGAGTCCTTGGAAACCCTATGCCAGGGGTACTCTGATTTGGAACCAACTTGAAGGCATTTAACAACAAAAACGGGTGTTAAGGGTCTAAGTGGTGACTGGCGTAAGTACTGGACTGTAACCACTAGATCAGCAGTTCAAAGCCAGCAGCAGCTCCTTGGGAGAAAGGTGAGGCTTTCTGTTCCGGAAGCCTCAGAAACCCTGTATGAGTTGAAATTGACTCAGAGGCACTTAAGAATGGTTTATAGATCTGAACCCAGAAACTTGTAGCACTGGACTATGGGTGGAATATGGGTGGGCGAGGCAGAGATCATGACTCTGGGTGTATTTTTGTTTTATGGGCAGGTAGGTGCTGGGTTTGAGGGACCTGACCTGACCTGCTCCTGGTGCTTAAGTAGGCGGCAGAACAGTGGTTTGAAGATTGGCTAGGAGAGCTCTGTTCGCCCTCCAGGCTCACTTTCTCTTTGTTCCAACTATAGCTCTCAGGCACTGCAGCTGCATTGTTCTTTTCTCTGGTCTCTGCCTGCAGCTGCTGGGCAGTGGTGACAAGGACAACTGGAAACAGACTCCCATATTAGGATCCTAAAAATGTGATCTCACAAGGCCCAAATCATATAGCGCCCTATTTTATAGCACTTGTTTGGTGCTGTGGGTTAAGGCGCTGGACTACAAAGTTGCTTTGAACTGCAAAGCTGGTAGTTCAAGTTCATCAACTGCTCCTTGGAAACCCTATACAGGTTGCTATGGGTCGGAATTGACTCAACAGCACTTAACAATTCCTTACATTAGCGGTGCATACCTGTAGATAAAATCCTGTCAAATGCTGTTTCTGATTATTCCTTGGCAACCAACAATTATTTCTTTGTTCTCTTTGCTTTTCATGTTAATTCCGAGCTATGCAAATATAGATTATCTTTTAAAATTTTAAATTTTAAATAATGAAACTGATAGTTTATGAGAGTGGAGCTGCTAACCTCAGGTCAGCAGTTCTAAACTACCAACCGTTATGTGGGAGAAAGATGAGGCTTTCTACTCTTGTGAAGATTTACAACCTCAGAAATCCTGTGCAGAGTTGCTGTGAGCAGGAACTGACTCCACAGCATACCACCACCATGATACTGTATAATTTACACAAGATATGTAAATTTATAAAAAAAATTTGTTTTGTACAACTCAAGAACCATCTCATGAGTGATGGGAAATACTGCTTTATTGAATGTGAGAGAAAACTTAAGTCTGAGAAACCCCTAAATTAAGTATGTTGTTGTTAAGTGCCATCAACTCAGTTTTGACTCATAGCGACCCTGATAGGGTTTCCAGGAAGCGTGAGTCGTTTCTGACTCATAGCAGCCCTGTATAGATCCGCCAACCTTGTGGTTCAAACCAACCTTGATGTCCGTGCAGTGCTTTTTCTTATAGTGCCACTCCACAACTAACTAGGGGGAGCCCTTATGTTTTCATTTGTTACTACAGATTAAAGTTAAGTTTCTTGTTCTAAAAATAATTTCAGTTTTTAAAATATAGAAAGGCCTGTGTTTACATGTAAATCATTCCATTTAAAAATTAAAAACAATTAGCTCAATGGGTGATATTTCTTTGTTTTTTATGTGTAAGAAAAAGAAGCTCAGGCTCAAAGAAGTTGAGAGAGAAAGCAAACTGGGATTTTAAACCCAGAATTGCCTTGTTTCCAGAGCCTGTGCTTTATTTTGTATTGTATTATATAGCCCCCCCACCTCCCTTTTTTTTTATTTTTAAAATCATGTTGTGGAGAATGTGTTAAGAGCCATTCTGTCTGTATAGGGTTTCTTTATTGGGAGCAAACTCCAGCACGCTGAAGTGATGATTGACATTTTAGTTTCATTAAAATACAGTTGACACAGATACCTACTATGAAAGTAGTATAAGGTCCTTCAGAGATTCTGCAGAAGAAAGTAAGTGATACTATTTTATATTTAGGCGTGAACTACCCTTCACTAAGTCAGCTCATCTCACCAATCCTTGGAATGAACATAAACCAGTCAAGATTGGACGTGATGGACAGGTTTGTAAATTTATTTGGCTCCTTTTAAAAACATTTAATTGATTCATGTAGAGATCTTTATTGAAAGACATATTAAAACCATTTCTGAAAGAATTTATGTAAAAGATGAAAGGAAATTGCTCTTACTTTGAGCTCATGTTTACTCTGACTATAAATGATTAACCAGACCTTCACTAACGTTGAAATGTAGGTAGCTTTACCATGGTAGTTTCTGTATACCATTGAAGGGGAAATTTTAAGAGCGTTGGCTTGCTTTGTATTGCTTACTATGATATTGTTACTATTGAAGAAATTTAGCACCTTGTAGGATACATTCAGAAATGCCGTTTTTTCCTTGAGGTTTTCTATATAAAAGGAAGCTTTTTGAAAAGATTATGTACTTTCAAGTTTACAAATTGAATCAAAAGTAGGCATTCATTTAAAGTAAACCCAAACCTTGTCTCTCTGTAGTTTCTATGCACACATGATTCACAACAGCAGTAATTTTGTTTTCATTGGTCATAATTGAAAATGTTGATAGTTAAAAGTAGAAGCTAATTTTTAAAAGCTCACCATAGGTTAGTCTGCCTTTGTAGTTACTGTGCATTTCAGTTATTTTTTTGTTGTTGTTAAGTGCCATCGAGTTGATTCCGACCCATAGCGAGCCTGTATAGAGTTTCTGAGGAGCAGCTGATGATCTTGAACTGCCAACCCTACGGTTCAAAGAAACTTTGCAGTCCAGTGCCTTAACCCACAGTGCAGTACAGCAGTACATAATTATTAAAGGACATCTAGTGTGGTGCTGGGAGTCCTGGTGTGGTGTGGGTTAATATGCCAGACTGCAAAGCAGTTTGAACTGCAAAGTCGTTGGTTTTGGTTTACCAGCTGCTGCTAGGCGACCCTATATAGAGTCGTTATGGGTCAGAATCGACCCAGCGGCACTTAACAACAGCGACAGCAGGGTGTTGTTGATCAGCACTGGACTGTGAACCACAGGTTGGCATTTCAAACCTACTAGCTTCTCCTCAGAAACCCTGTCTATATAGGGTCACTATGAGTGTGAATTGTCTTGAAAGGCACTTAACAGCAACAATTGTTGAACTGAAGTTTACATACACTTTTATCATTATATAATTAATATTTGTGTCAGCTAATACAATTTGTATTTCAGTTTTTGATGAATTAAGATCTTGATCCTTGCAAATTAGATGCCACATAAAAGTATTTTCATGAACATTAATTTATAATGTTTTCTATTGTATTAGTGTGGATGACTTTGACTTAGTATTTTTGTATTTTGTACAAAGAAATAATCCTGTACAGAGAGTGATTGTCACAGTCAGAATTATAAGCATTTGCATTTATGTATATAACTGGAGATTCTATACCTTCACCTTTTGAAGCACTTTAGAAAATTTTCATAAATTGGGAAGATTTATAAATGGAATCCCATTTGATCCTTAATCATGAGAAGGAAGCCTCCAAGTCAGTTGCATCAGGAAAATGCAAGTCTTTCTCTAAGTCCTCCTATTGTCAACTAAACTGCTACTTTCGTATTTCAGGAAATTGAACTTGAATGTGGAACCCAGCTTTGTCTTCTATTTCCCCCCGATGAAAGTATTGACTTGTATCAGGTCATTCATAAAATGCGTCACAAGAGAAGAATGCATTCTCAGCCCCGATCAAGAGGACGTCCATCCCGTCGAGAACCAGTCCGGGATGTGGGAAGGTTAGAAACGTTCTTTGGACTGATAATAGGCACATGTATCAGAATAACATGATGGAGGAATGTGATTCGTCAAAAGTTTGTCCTGCGGTAAAGAAGAAAGAGAAAATCCTCAAATCAAGCTGCATGGACTAGTTTGTGGCTTCATTGAGGATTTCACATGGTCACCTTGGTCTCTGTCATTTTTCAAGAGGAAATGGGAATCTTTCCTTAATGCAGAAAAAAGTATTTGCTAAAGAGCGATAGCCAGTTTAGATAGTAATCTGATAATACAATGTATATAATTGAAATGAGGTAGGCATTTGTTACTAAGAATAGGATATGAAAGGAAGAGAAAGAGGAAGTCTTTATTTGCAAAAATTGTTAATATTTTGTAAAAAGCCTTTTCTTTCAGGTATGTCTCTGGATAAGCCTTATCAGATATGGGACTTTATAAAGGATCACTAATAATTTTTCAGAAGATGACGCCTCATTTAGAGGATAAAATATTTAAATTATTTTGATATTCAAGAGGAGCATTATTGGGACTGTTTCAAATTTTACCACCGTGATGTGTTAACCCCATTGCCAGATATTCTCTAACATGTACCCACTGAATTCACACATCTTGCTGAGCTTCTGAAAACTAGGTTCTTTCCAAAGGGGATCAAGTGGCCTTGGGAGACCCGGCAACAAACCAAAAAGAAGGGCTGTTGCTGTGTCTGTTTACAACTTTTCCAGATGCTGGCAGTACCTGTGGACTTAAAAGTGTTTATTAGAGGATCGCCATGGTTATTGATCACTACTTTATGAACGAAACATCATTTTCCAGGAAAAGGGGGTTTAACTTGTTACAGAATTGGAGAAGTCTTTGCAAAGGACTGATTTAAGCTCTCCTACCCATCACCTTCCCTGTATAGATTTGCATACAGCTAAATCTAAAATATTCTACTACAGACTGTTGGAAGTGTGGTTGATGGGATGAAACCTTTGGTTAAGTTTCCTTTTGGTGGAAACATCCTGTGGTAGGTACAGATAATCCAACAAGAGTCCCCATTTCTTTGATCTTAAAAAGGACACTGGAGTAGGTAGGAGGAAACCTGGCAGAGTCCCCTTATTTTTGGCCTAAAAGGACGGAGCACCAAGATGTCTTTTGAAGTTTTAAGATAAGAGGTTTCCAGTGCAATACAGTATATACAAGTGAAGTTTTTACCTCAGTTTTGCAATGGACTGCAAACTATACTTATTACACCACTACACCTTCTCTCAAGCCTGCCAGGGCCTCCATTTATGTATGTGGCTTACAGCTTAAAGTCAGTAGTTGGACTACTGTATGAACTGTTACTATCATGTTTTATACCGGTCGTATATGCACTTCCCAAACTACAAGAAAGCGGTATGTTTGTTTTTTAAACCAGCTTTTAATTTTCTTAGTCTTATTTATTAATGCAATTGCTATTATTCTGTTGGGGGGCTTGGGTTTATTTTATTAACTTTGTTGTTTGACTAAATAAAACAAGTTTAACTTGTATTAATGAAAACTAGCTGAAAAATTAGTGATGTCAGGTTACCTTAGGTTTTATCTAACATTAAAGGTAAAAAGGTATTTATTATCAAGAAAAATTTTTGTTTAGCTCTTTATGAAGTACTAAGTAGAATGAAGTGTATATAATGCTGTCATAAAACAGCCATAGAAGACAGTAAAGAGCGACATTCTGTAGACAGTGAAATTTCACCTTTTAAGAATACACTTGGAACTAGTTTTATGAACTGTTAAGACTCTGATCCTATTATTTGCTAATTTATAAAAGCCAGTTTAACTTATAGTCACTGTCTTTGAGGGAAAAAATTACTTAATTCTTAAGTGTTACTAACTGTACAAATTAGTTTAAGTACTAAGATTTTAAAAACTTTCTTGTAAATTTGCTTTAATAACTCAAATTTTCTGTATGGTAATGTGAAAAGTAATTTTGTGAAAAGCAAAAAATTTTAAGGATTTTATTTTGTTTAGTTACTTGAAAATGACTAGTTAAGTTTAAATATATATGTAGGTTTTAGTTACTTATTGTATAAAGATGGTAGGTTTTTTTCCCCATTTCACTTTAATGATTCATTATTTTAGAAAGTTTTGTTAAACTGGATACTTTAGTTTGAAGTTGGCTTAGCTACCTTTGTTTACGATACTAAAATGTAATTTGCATGTTTTGAGCAAGTTGCTTTTCCTAGTGTCTTGTCTCATCATAGCATGAGTGTGGAGAGTAAATACTGCTTCAAGCAGTATATTTACATTTTAGTTTGTAGTAATTTGGAGGAATTCGCTTTTAGGAATTTTAAGACTTTATTTCACCAAAATTTAAGACATTTAAAAGGAAGCAATGCGCTTTCTTTGTACTTGTTTCTGTCAGAAACTCTTGCTTTGCTATTTGTTCTCCCTTGTGTTTTTGGTTTAATTTCTAATGTGTCTAATTTGTGTAGGCGTCGACCAGAAGATTATGATATTCATAACAGCAGAAAGAAACCAAGGATTGACTATCCCCCTGAGTTTCACCAGAGACCAGGTTAATATTTTATACTCCTGCAGATATTTGACTTATTTTTAAAAATACATACACTTCAATTTTACTTCTAAATCTTTAAAAGTGAGAAACTTTTAAGACATGACTACATAACCTTTAGGAAATCTCATTAATAGTTCCTCCCTACTCTGTGATAGCTGTCAGTATAATTACCTGAATTAGCTAAATTATAATGATTGTAAAAAATGAAAAGCCTGCACGTGTATTTAAAGATTAAATGAATTTGGGGAAAGCTAATAATTTTATCTGGACCGTAAGGGTCTGTGGTTCAAATTTCCAGCTGATCCTTGGAAACCCTATACAGGGTCGCTATGAGTCAGAACTGACTCAGTGGCACTCAGACTTCGTTTTGTAATTTCCTGTGATACATAGTTTTAATTGGAAATTAAAGTTATGCCATATGGTTTTTTAACTTCATGTTTTTCAAGAGGAAAGTATTTTGTTTGTAATATAAAAGGCAACTTTTCACTTATCCTATGCTTTACTGGCAAAATACAGGAAAGATAATATTTAAAACACAGTTGTACACTTAAAAAACTAAAGGTTGAAAATTGATGGTTTTGAGTGTTAACAATATGCAAGTGGCTTGATAAACTTCATTCTTTTTCAAACTAAAGGGTGTCCTAGAATGAAATTAATTTTTCCTAAGAAATAATGACTACTCGCCTGTTTTTAATTTACTGAGTCCTTACCCCAATATAAGGGGAGATGAGAATATTTCTCTTATCTCTGAGATTCATTTAAAATACATATATCACTTTTACAATTTTGTGTCCCTCTGATTTGCATTATTAAAAACTAACTATAGTTGATTAGCAAGGCCTGTATATACTTACTCAAGGTATTTTAGTAATCCTATTACAGTGTTTTTTAAGTAGTTCCTCTGTGCTTACTCAACCCTATGGTGCAGAACGAAGACATTTCCTATCAAGGTATATTAGGGGAATGAAGAAACACACCAAAGCCTAGCAGTTTATAATTCTGTGGTGTGACGTTATTTAGGTATTTCATAGATTTTCATGTAAACTGAGAAGAAAATTGAAAATGGAATAATACAGTAGCATCACTTAAAAGTACATATTTCGTGGAAAGAGTTGAATTGTGAGTGGTAAGGAAGGTTAAATTATAATGCCATCATAAAAAATTTATGTATTTGATATACTAAAATGCTTGCTGTTTGAACAGGGTATTTAAAGGATCCACGATACCAGGAAGTAGACAGGTAAGTTGGGTTCACTCTTGCATAGTTTTGAATTAACATTCTTGGAACTAGTTTATTTATTACCTGAATTTAGTTTCACAAATCTTATTCCCAACAGACGATTTTCAGGAGTTCGCCGAGATGTGTTTTTAAATGGGGTAAGCATTTCCTTTTATAGATTTCATGTAGATAAAATCAGGAACTAGTTTATTTTGTTGTTCTGGGATGATTTGTATTTATAATGATATTATCATCTTTCATTTTAGTCCTACAATGATTATGTGAGGGAATTTCATAACATGGGACCACCACCACCATGGCAAGGAATGGTTTGTATTCTAATTTTTGCAAGTTATTTAACTTGATTTGCAGTTCCTAATGTTTTGGGTTCTTGTTATATGATTAGTGCAGTTAATCTGTTAAGAGATTTGAAAATACATATGAAAGATTAAAGAAAATGTTTATTTGTAATGTTATGTCATTGTTGCTATGTGCCGTGGAGTCAGCTGTAACTCATAGTGAGCTTATATAGTGTTTCTGAGGAGCGGCTGGTGAGTTTGAACTACCGCCCTTGAGGTTGAGTGCTTACCTTGAACCACTACACCAGGACTCCTTGTAATGATATAATAAAGATTTGATGAGTATAACTGTATTGGTTATTACAAACTTCTGCTGTTAAGTGCTGTTGAGTGGATTCTGACTCTTAGCAACCCTGTATAGGGTTTCCAAGGAGCAGCTGATGGGTTTGAACTGCCGACCTTAGGGTTTGCAGTCCAGTACTGATTCTACAGCGCCATTCCAGGAGTCCACAAGCTAATATAGTAGTTTGTATATATTCTTCTTCCCCCCCCCCCCAAATTTAATGGGTGTGTATTCTTCAGCTTATCAAGCAATTAATTTAGTCCCTCCTGTGTTTATTATTATTGGCATATCATTTCTTTAAGAAAACTGAATGCTCTTAGAGTATATTTTAAAGAATTGTTGATGGCTGAAGTGTTAACTCTTTTAGTGTTTCTTTTTATGCTGTCTTTAGTGTGGCATATTTATCTGATTCTTATTTCACTTAAGGTTATATAGTTTAGTGTTACAGCATATAGCATAAGCTTTCTTTAGATTCTGTAAAACCTACAGAATAGAAATTTAATATGCTGTCTTGACATTTTGTAACCTTTGATTCTTTATCCATTTTTTAATGACATTTGAAACTTTATTAACTTTTTGTTTTTGAAAGCCTGTTAAGTCCTATCAAGCAGGTTCCAAACTCACAGCTACCCTGCATAGAGTTTCTGATGCTATAAATATTTTGCGGGAGCAGATAGTCTCATCTTTCTCCTGTGGTGCAGGTGGTGGACTCGAACCACTGACTTTGTGGTTCGTAGTCCAGTATTTATGCTACAGAATACCTTGTTCCCTTTTATATAAAGAATAGATTTGTGCATGTTGATGAAGATCATAGCATGTCTCCTTCCTGAGTCCACCCCTTTACTAATAGTATGGCCTTAAGCAAGTTACTTGGAGTCCTGGTGTGGCGCTGTGCGTTAATGTTCCAGACTGCAAAGCCATTTGAACTGCAAAGTTGGCAGTCCAAACTCACCAACCGCTATTTGGAAACCCTGTTCAGGGTCACTATGGGTCGTAGTCGACTTGATGGCACTCAACAACAACCAAGCAAGATCAGCTGCTCCTCAGGAGAAAAATGAGGTTTTCTGCTCCAATAAAGATTTACAGCCTTAGAAACTACAGGGTCGCTGTGAGTTTGGAATCTGCTCAACAGCACAAAACCAACAAACTAGAAATAATACTTAACTCATGGATTTGCTCTGAGAATTAAATGAGATGTGAAGTGTTTAGATCATTATAAGCACTTTGTGTTTGGTATTTCTATTGGTATTTAAAACGTAAGCATGCTAAACTGTAAAAGCATGGAAATTAGAGAGTTTGTTACATTATACTTTCAGCAATCAAATAAATAGGGTATTGGAATAATTTTAAGGTCATCAAAGTGACTGGTTAGTTCAGATTAACATACTTGTTTAGGGGGTGTTTTGGGTGGGAATATTACAAGAATGATTTGTTTACACAAACAGTTGGTAGATTCTTATAGAAGTGGTTCCTTTTTATTTATTTTTTATTTTTTTTAAATAATAAGCCTCCTTATCCTGGAATGGAACAACCACCACATCATCCGTACTATCAGCATCATGCACCACCTCCTCAAGCCCATCCCCCTTACTCAGGACATCATCCAGTACCGCATGAAGCAAGATACAGAGATAAACGAGTAGTAAGTACATGGAAAGCAAAGGTGTGAGGGAACTACCCAGATTTCTCTAGGGAATTTAAAAATGGGAAATACCCGATTATGATGAGTGGTGGACCATTTCATATTCTTATTGCAAACTGTTTTGGAAAATTTACAACTTGTTTATATTTAGAATGGCTGGCTGATAGTGCCTCTTTGGAGTATTTATGGTTGTTAGGTGCTGTTGTCAGTTCCAACTATGTATAGAGTTTCTGAGGAGTAGCTAGAAGTTTTGAAATGCTGACCTTGTGATTATCAGTACATATCTTATAACCCCACATCAGGTGTATTTAGATAGACTGTATTCTTTACAATGTTCAAATCACAAACTTCCTGTTCATGTTTAAGTAACACCTATATATAAGTAGTAGTTCATAGGTAATGTCATGGTATGTAGTACCCTGGAGTTCTTGTGTGGCGCTGCAGGATACATACTCGACTCCAAGGTTGGTTGGAACTGGCTTGATGGCACTTAACAAAAACAACCACACCCTGATATGTCACTGCAGGATAATGCACTGGACCACAAGGTTGGTTTTAACCACATGGTTGGTTGTTCAAACCCACAAGCCACTCAAGAAATGCTATATAGGGCTATTATGAGTCAGAACTGACTTGACAGCACTTTACAACAACATATATTACCCAACAAGATGGATTATTGGCACAGTGACTGCAGCAATGGCTCAAATGTAACAATTTTGCAGATGGCATAGGACTGGACTGAGCAGTGTTTCCGTCTGTTTTGTGTAAGGTTGCCATGAGTCAGAATGGATTCAGTGGCACTTAACAGCAACAAGTGGGACTCTTGGCTCTGTAGGATAAGCACTGAACTGCTATCCACAGGTTGACATTTTAAGTGTACCAGTCACTGAGCTGGAGAAAGATGTGGCTTCCTGGTCTTGGAAAGGTTACATAATATCACTATGAGTTGGTACTCAGTGCACTTAAACAATAACAATTGGAATCACTGGGTGTTGTAGTTGATTAGCATGCTAATCAAAAGATTGGTAGTTCAAATTCACCCATAGATGCCTAGGAATAAAGGTCTTTTGATCTACTTCCATTAGAAATCCTATGGAGTAGCACAGTTTCACTGTTATGTTGTTGTTGTCAGGTGCCATCGAGTCGGAACCGACTCATAGTGACCTCATGCAGAACAGAATGAAACAATGTCCGATCCTGGGCCAACCTCACTACTGCTGTTGTATGGGGTCATAATAAATCAGAATTGACTCACCTGATAGCGGCCTACATGTTCAGAGTAGACCTGCATTTTTATTAGAAGTGTGTCACCAAGCCTTTCTTCTGAACTAATTAAAAACCACAATTTGTAGTCTTCCAAGTGCTATGAATTTATTTAAGCTGATTTGAAAAGGAGCAAATTCAGCAAGTGATGTGAGAACTAAGGATAGAAAACTAACTAGAGAAAGGGTATCAAGCTTAGCAGGGCCCAGTTTTCCCTTCCTCTTAGTGTAGTCAATTGCTCTTCTTACCCTTCTTTAACTCCTTTTGTCTTTTGTGCATTGTTTGTTCTCTGTGGGATGGACTTGGCATTGTTACTAAAATAAAGTGGGCTTTTTTTTTGACATTTCCATAAGTTATAATAACAGTAGTGTAATTTGAAAGAAAATGTGGAACATAAAATATCGTAATTTCACCATAAGAGGGCAGACTTGGTCTAGGTTAGTCTGTAGAAGTTGAAGGAAAGAAAAAGTTGGGTTGCCTATTGCAGAAAAGCATAAATGCATTAATCTTATTCAAAGGATTAGGTGGGAAAATCACTAAACAAGGAACCCCATGACTGAAGTTTTTTTTTTTTTTTTAATGAAATTTGACTACTTTTATTAATGCCTGATTACTAAAGATACCAAAATCTTTTTTGTAAGCAATGCCAGAATTACATTCTGTGAATAACTTCATTGCTCTAAAATTTCTTCCCTGTCAAATAACTATGGTATAGGCAATTAAACTGACTTTTTATACATGCTAAACTTATTTCTTCCCTTTTATAGCATGATTATGATATGAGGGTGGATGATTTCCTACGTCGTACACAAGCGGTCGTAAGTGGCCGGAGAAGTAGACCTCGTGAAAGGGATCGGGAGCGAGAACGAGACCGTCCCAGAGATAACAGAAGAGACAGAGAGCGAGAGAGAGGACGAGACAGAGAAAGAGAAAGAGAGCGATTATGTGATCGGGACAGAGACCGAGGAGAGAGAGGTCGATATCGAAGATAATGTGCTTTTCAAAGCAATTGATTGTTTAAAGATAAAACAAAATCTTGTTTTTTTGTTTTTGTTTTTTTGGTTTTTTTTTTGGTGTGTGTTTACAAGTAGTAAATTTATTTTCAACTGTCTACTTAAAGTTCATTGTGTAGAAGGATTTATTATGACCCTCTTTGTTCCAAGCATGCAGTATAATAAGAACTGGAAAATTCTCAAATTCGCCAAAAATGCACAGTTGACAATGGAGTTGACACTTACTGGGGCAGAATGGAACAGTCCAAGTATGTAGATATTGATTCATTCTTCGTAAATGTTCATCTACTTATAGTGTGTTCACCTAGGGTTATTGTTTGTTTTCTTTCTTTTGGATCTTGATTGATAACTGCCATGACCTTTTGCTTTGATGTGTTTCTACATGTAGTTGCACACGGTTCAGTAAAATAATGCTGCTATTAAGTATGCAAATATTGAAGTATGATGGTTTGACTCTATGGCAGTGTTGTAGCAGCCTTTTGGTTTCTCCCTTGCTCCGTTTTTAAAACTTATAACGTCAATTTTTATTTTTCTTCAGTCTTCAATGATGAGAGCAATATTAAGAAGACATTGCTATCTAATTCTTAACCTTTTTGAAAAATAAAAAATTCTTATGTTCGGTAGCATGGTTGATGCTATTGTTTAGCCTTCCCCTCCAAACTGTATACATTGGCTTGGAATGTTCACAACTTGCGTGTGTGGCAGCAGAAGATTCCCATATTCTACATTGCTACTGTTTTGTATAAAATAAATTGGTAAAGATTGACACTTTTCTGTTGTTTTTTTTTTTTCCCTGATTACAAGTTTGTTTGGTAGACTTTATTGTTGCCAAGGATCAAGTTGATTCTGACTCAAAGCAACCATGTCAACTCAGAGCAACCAAGTATAGGGTTTGTGGGAGTTGGCTGATGTGTTTGAACTACCAGTGTAGCAGCCATCAGTCCAGGACTTATTGTATATTGCTACACTGGAACTCAGTGAATTTTTTTTTGTTAAAAATTTTCAAAATCCCATATCGTTTTTCCCCTAAAGCAATGAGCATCAGTGATACTGAGTTTATGTTTGTATTTTTAATGTAAAAATTGATGGTATACAATTTAATTACCTTGGTATTTTGAATAAGCTTTTGTTTCATTGTATTTGGGGGCTAATTTTATCATAGGACTTTTTTGTTGATTTTTAGGTTGTCTGTCTTGATTTTCATCTTTAAGTGAACTACTTTATATATTTTTTGTATTTTACTTGGAAACTGAAAAAATAATCTTTGATATAGTCCGTTTCCAATTTTAAAAGTTAACTGTCAATCCCTCACAATACTGGTAGACTATAGCGTAAAAGTAATGTCACACAAGTAAACATTTCATGAAAAGTTTTATTTCATTTTCTTGAGATATCTGAAATTATGACCATTATAAAGTTGAATGTGTACATATGAATATGAATATGTAAGCAGTATCTGAATGACCACTTGTCCCTGTATTGTATGTTTTCGTAGTGTCTTAATTGACAATTGCATTTGGCACCAAATCATTTTACTTGTAATTGATATTTGTGGGATTGGGTAAGGAACACCTGTACTTAACTGGGTTTGCTTGAAAAGCTTAGAAAAATACAGCCCTAATTCCCTTTTTAGAAAACCCAATCTAGCATAGGCTAAAGATGGTTTTACAAGAACTCTGTAATCATGATTCCTAATGTTCTTTTCCATCACACATGAGTTATCTATTTTTCAATACTAGATTGGTGGTGGTTATGTGCCGTGGAGTTGGTTCCGACTCATAGTGACCCTGTACAGGGTTTCCAATGCTGTAGACCTTTACAGGAGCAGAAAGCCTCATCTTTCTCCCGCGGAACAGCTGGTAGTTTTAAACTGTGGACCTTAAGGTTCACAGCCCGATTCGTGACCACTACGCTACCAGAGCTCCTCAATATTGTTGTTGTTGTTGTTGTT